GGGCTCAGGTTTCTGTCTGACATGAAACCCTAAACCCGTGAACCCTGAATTGTGGGATGTTCCCCCTTATGCTAACAGTCCTTAGTAGGGATTACCAGAGGGGGTACAATCATCCCAAATAAGGCCTGGTAGTATATATGAGGCAACATCCCAACCCTAAATTGCTCTAAGGACTCTAAGCCCCAAAGACGGGCAGCTAAAACTCTCAACTATGGGTTACGCCAAGACTCTGACTTAAGGCATATTCCTGAGTTCCAGGAGTATTGAGGTAACCCTAAACCCTAAGCCTTAAGCCTCGAGTCCGGAACCATTCCTCTGAACCTGAAAATCTCCTTGGTAGTTTAGGGGTACCCTTTACTTGTTTTTTTTTTGCTCTGGGTTTCCTTATAAAGTAGCCAACCAAACACAAAGGATGCCCTTATTGTCACATGGTTACTGGGCTACCAAGTCTGGGAGCCATGGCTGGAAGGTGATCATCAATCTGGAGCCCTGCCGAGGCGTAGTGTACCTCTTTGCCTGGAGCTCGCTACCGAACAACCTTTGTTTTTGCTTGCGGGGGAGAGGGGGGAGTGGGTTAAACCAACCCTAAACCCTAAACCTAAACCCTAAACCCTAAACCCTAAACCCTAAACCCTAAACCCTAAACCCTAAACCCTAAACCCTAAACCCTAAACCCTAAACCCTAAACCCTAAACCCCCTACAAGCCCTTGGGGGCCTTGTGGCAGCAGTTGCAGATGGCCGGAGCGCTTGGGAGACATCAGGGGATTGAGGAAGCCCGCAGTTGCGCTGGCCGCCTGTAGCGTCTCTGCAAGCTGCCCTCCTTCATGGGTTTCGGGTGTAGGGTTTAATAGATCCGGTATCAAGACGCAGGGCTCCCGACAGGTGCCACAACGCCGCTGGTCTTAGAAGCTGAGCCGCTGTAAGCTCACCCAAAACGAAAAACATGCGAAAACCGAAGTCCGGAAACCTGCGCTACTTGAAATTTCATGGGAAGCTATAAGTAGGGTTAGAAGTATGAGAACGATACTACCCTATTTAGGGTACTTCTCTACTGTAGCTGTAGTAGTAGTAGTAGTAGTAGTAGTAGTAGTAGTAGTAGTAGTAGTAGTAGTAGTAGTAGTAGTAGTAGTAGTAGTAGTAGTAGTAGTAGTAGTAGTAGTAGTAGTAGCAGTAGTAGCAGCAGCAGTAGGTATGGTGAACATGGTTCTGATCATACAGCTCCAGCGAAGCTGAGGTCCGAAAGACGCGCAGGTGCTGGCCGAACCCCTACAGCCAAGGCCTTGGCAGCAAACGACAGCTCTCAGACAGCTTCTCCGAGGTTTAGGGTTTAGGGATTAGGGTTTAGGGTTTTGGGTTTTGGGGTTCTGCACGGGAGCATCCCACAATAAGTTCAATCTTCTGCTCAGCATGTTGGATCCGTTCTGATCACGCGCCTAGGCCTCATAGTTCGCGCGATTACTGTGCTGCGTGGCACGTGAGAACTCGGAGTGACGACCTTCTACTCTGGCACCAGGAAAGATCAGCCCAATAGTGTAGTTGTGAACTACTAGAGGGCCCCCAAGAAAACCACATTTCACAGGCGGATCCTACTAGTGGGGTATCAGGGCTCCTAGAAGGGGATTCCAATGTGTTTTTTTACTATAATTACGATTACGATAACTATTACTATTATGATTACTGTTATGATTGCCATGATTATTAGTTTTCTTATTCGTATTTTCTTTTTGAAGATATATATATATATGTATATATATATATATATATATATATTGTTCATTTTTTAATGTCGTTGTTCGTGCCCCTAAGCTACTACGCCCAGGCTGTATCGATCTCAGACCCGGCTTCGAGAGAAGGGAGGCCGGAAGACTTGGATTTGCGGGGTTGCTGTTGCCATGGGACCATCATTAGGGTTTAGGGTTTAGGGTTTAGGGTTTAGGGTTTAGGGTTTAGGGTTTAGGGTTTAGGGTTTAGGGCATAGAAGGTTTAGGAACCAGGGTCAAGTGTGGTACGCCTTGCATAGGGTTGGACCACTTGCCCCATGCCTTGATCTTGTCCAGCAAGCAGCTACAATCTACAAAGATGTCTTTCGCCGAAGGCCTCCAATTGCGAATGGACGCACTTTATGTCTGGAGCTGAGTTGTCAACACGAGCAACAGAAATCTGAGAAGACTCTGTGGGAGTCTGTGTTCAGGGTGCAGTGATGAACCCTGCGCCCAAATCATCCGCCAAAACTCGCAAGATGTCTGCGGAATCTGTTTGCATATTGGTTCAAAGACTCACGACAACCTTTCACTGTAAGTTTACTCATGTTGACTTTCACTTCCACTTGCACTTTGATGAATTTGGTTTTTCTATAGCAAGTATGAAAGGGACAGGGGGAGCCTCAGCAAGTCCTAAGCCCTGGCCAAGGTCTGAAATCGATGGAAGCAGGGACGGGGCGCCGACCTATTTCGAAGTCCCGCTGTCTTCCACCAAGTGACCCCGCCGCCATTCCTAGGAGCGTAGTGCACGGCTCGGAATAGTGACGAATAGTATTCCCTTATAAGGCACCTTGAGAATTATATTCTCATATCCCCCTTAAAAGCCTATTCTCATTATTCAGGCCTCTATGTATTAGGTTTTTGGGGGTTTATGAGGTGTATATAGGCTTCCTCTAGCCGAAGCCCGAAAACCTAGGGCCCCCTGTTAGGAGGATTTGCAGGGAGAGGGCTTGTCATAGGGCATTGAGGGTTTATAACTTTATAGCGTTCATAGACTGATAGACCAGGCAGAGAACAGGGCGAACGATCAGGGCGAACGATATCACATCTGAAGCGGCCTTCATGTCCCTTGGAACCCTAAACCCTAAACCCTAAACCCTAAACCCTAAACCCTAAACCCGCCACGGTTGTCATAGGCCACCACATTCCGCTTACAAAACTGTTGGCTTTTGCCAGTGTTCTTCCGTTCTATAACTACACCCTAAACCCTAAACCCTAAACCCTAAACCCTACACCCTACACCCTAAACCCGAAACCCTAAACCCTAAGCCCTAAACCCTAAACCCTGAACCCTGAACCCTGAACCCTAGCTTCTAGCTTCGGGGGTTGGATTGTTTGGCCATTTCGGGCTTTCGGGGCCTCGTGTTTCGGGACTTGGCGCTTGGAACACGTCAGGTTCTTCATTTCCGTGTACTCCCCGACCGAGTACTCTGCAGCTTGGTTGAAAGACTGCAATGAGACTTGCGCAATACAGGAGCCTAGATCGTTTCTAACACTACCACTTAATCATCTCTACATTGCTATTGTTTCTAACATCATCCTTGAGAATCTCTATATAGCTGCAAGGTGAACTGCCCAAACGCATAGCTCTTTTTATTTCCATGGAAGCCGCAGCGCAGCGCGCTCTTGACATTCTCTCGAGTATGAGCCTAGAATGATACTCCCGAAGCCCTGAACCTGAATCTGAACCCTAAGAGTCTAAGAGTGTACAAAAACACTTTGTACCACTTTCATGGCAGAGACTCGGGTCCGTTCTAACTGGGTTTAGGGTTTGGGGTTTAGGGTTTGGGGTTTAGGGTTTAGGGTTTATGGTTTGGGGTTTAACCGTCCTCCCGATAATCCAGGCATCGCCCGAGTTTCTGTATGTAAGTGAGGTCGCCGACTTGACAGACCACACCAGGAGAGAAGTTGCCATCTACCCGAGTTCAAAGTCATTGTTTTACCTGCTCCCTTCGACAACTAGATTCTATAGCCTTCTGCACCTAAACCCTAAACCCTAAACCCTAAACCCTAAACCCTAAACCCTATCAAGTCAAGTCCAGAAAGCTCGTCGGAGCTTTGTAGCTTGTGATCCAGTCTAATGTGCTCCCCGAAGCCTTATGTTTTCAGGCTTTTCAGGGTTCTCGAGGTTTAGGGTCTTAGGGCTATTTTTCGGGTTTTCAGGGTTTTAGGCACATGGTACGTTCTCTAGCTCAGGATCACTTTTCGGGTACCCTTGATATGAAGCCTTGTACTCTTGGTAGCAACAGCGAAATCTGCCCTTAGGTAGACCTTTGAGGGTTTAGGGTCTAGGCTCTATAGGGTTTAGGGTTCAGGGTTTCGGGTTTAGGGTTTGGGGTTTAGGGTTTAGGGTTTAGGGAGACCCGCTATCCAGGCCTACACGCTCACCATCCTCGCAGACATTGGCCGCTGGCCTCGGCCCGGGGCGTTTGGGCGGCTGACTGCAAGGTGGCCGCTTGCGGTTTTTTAGGGTTTAGGGTTTGGGGAAACGCTCCCACTATGGGCTGATATGAGACACATAGGTCGTCAACTTTCAACTGCAATGTCATTCTCTGGCCGCACAGATGTCTCATCCGTAAGCCCTAGCTAAGGCCTAAACACGACACGCTAAACCCTAAACCCTAAACCCTGAACCCTGAACCCTGAACCCTAAACCCTAAACCCTGAACCCTAAACCCAAGGTAAGGCCTTAACATGACAACCTCCGAGTCCAGGTGCTTGAGCCAGAAGTAGCCGGAGTATTGTGTATAGGTTGTGAAGCCGCAATGTTCCGAACTTGGGCATGATCCTACACCCTAAAGACTAAAGCCTAACCCCCAAAACCCCTATGAACCCTAAAGCCCATTCAACCCTACACCCTAAACCTTAAATCCTAAACCCAAAACCCTATGAAGCCTAAACCCCATAAATCCTTAACCCTACACCCTAAACCCTACACCCTAACCCTACACCCTATAAACCCCATAGGCCCTAACCTACACCCAAACCCCTAAACCCTAAACCCTAAACCCTAAACCCTAAACCCTAAACCCTTTTGGCAGGCAGCTGGCGGAGCTCCAGGTGCAGATTTCCTGGAACGCTGCTGAGTTCAGCCCGGAAGGCAGTCATGGGTGCACCTACATGGGGTTTAGGGTTTAGGGTTTAGGGTTTAGGGTTTAGGGTTTAGGGTTTAGGGTTTAGGGTTTAGGGTTTAGGGTTAGGGTTTAGGGTGTTAGGGTTTTAGGGTGTAGGGTTTAGGGTCTAGGGTTTAGGGTTTAGGGTTTAGGGTTTTGTCTGCAAGGAGGGCTGAACCTATGTACTTGAAACAGGGCTTAGTTATAGAGTCCGTAAGGGAGGGGGGTTCAAGGGGGGGTGGGGTGTATAACCCAAGGTTCCCTAATACTCCCTCTATTCCCAAGGTTCCCTATGTACCTACCGCCCCCCATGCTCTGTTCTCCTGGCAGCAACAAGAAAGTTTTCTTGTTACACGAAATTGGTTGCTGGGATCTTGCCATCTCTAAATTAGTTGCTTCTCTCCTGGGGTTCCTGCTAGAATCCGGAACCCTTAACCCCAACAAACCTCATGTAGGGAACCCGACAGCCTTCATATCTGGATCAGCCCCGACACAAAAGCAGCTTAACCCCAAGCCCTATACTCTGAACCCTACACCCAGATCCTATAGGGTTTAGGATTTAGGGTTTAGATCTTGAGACCACAAAGCTCTCAGGGGTTGCGCGTGAGGCTTTGCGGCTTCAATCTTCCGTGAGTGCAGGTGTGGCGATGGCAAAGCAGTACTGGGTCTACTCCTCGATGCTTCTCGAGTCGGTGGGGCCGTCAAGCATGGGATGGTTTTGACTGGTCATGCAAGCATAGGCTAAGGGCTGAGGTTTTTCGGGCTTTGCATCTATGAGCACAAAGGCAAGAGCTGTTTGAAAAGACACCACTGTTAAGTCTTAAGAAGATGTCGCTTCATGCATGAACAAATACCGCCTGTCACATGACAATTGGTTGTAGGTATCTTGTGTCTTTCTTAGCTTCGCCTCATAACCAAAGTGTAGACAGGATATGTGATCTTTGTATTTGTTTTGCGTATGCAATAGAGGTTTTCCTCCTTCTTGTCGGAGTATTTGTGTGGTGTGGTTTCGTACGAGGATGTGATAAGTGCATTAGACACGGGTTTCACAAAGCTGGCAGAGATTTGCCGGTGGTTGAGTTTCTCTTCCTTGCAACCTTGAGCTTGTTCAGAACTGAAGACCCCGAGCCAAGGGTTTAGAGCTTAGGAAAGAATGAGGTTCCGGATCCAGGGGAGGACCCCCTAAACCCTAAACCCTAAACCCTAAACCCTAAACCCTAAACCCTAAACCCTAAACCCTAAACCCTAAACCCTAAACCCTAAACCCTAAACCCACATTTTCGAGCCGGGAAGGGTAAGCCCTGAACTTTGAGCTCTTGGCACGTGAAGTACAGGAAGAAGCCGTGTGAACAATTGCGCTAAAAGTGATGGGGAAAACCTGAGTTTAGGGTTTAGGGTTTAGGGTTTTGGGTTTAGGGTTTGGGGTTTGGGGTTTGGGGTTTGGGGTTTAGGGTTTAGGGTTTAGGGCTTAGCCCAATAAATCAATACTAGCTCACCGAGTTGCGTTTGCGATTCTTTTTCATTTAGCGAAGGGGTGTGAGCTAAATGGCGATTGCTTGGGATGCTGCCCCTTATACTAACAGTCCTTAATAGGGATTATAGTACCGGCTAGGCGGTACTATGATCATCCCTGTCACCCTAAACCCTGAACCCTAAACCCTGTTCGCATAAGGGGGAACATCCCAAGCGTTTGCATGCGTCATGTTCTGAGTTGCATGGCCTTCCTAAACCCTAAGCCCTAAACCCCAAAACCCAAAACCCGAAACCAGGACAACCGAACCAACATGGCTGTCTTTCTACGGTCAGACAAGATCTTGAACACGGCCTGGGGCCCAGAACGAGCTGCAGCTGCCCCCACTCTTGCAGGTTTAGGGTTTAGGGTTGAGGGTTGAGGGTTTAGGGTTTAGGGTTTAGGGTTTAGGGTTTAGGGTCTGCCTGTCTCTGGCCATGTCATCCACTGTCCGTGCTTGACTCTGAAGGTCTGTGGCCTGCAAAACAACACGGACCGTCAGTACACCATTGACCGCTTCTCAGAACTCGGCTACACTTTCTTGTGGCCGAGACACGTTGATATGGCCGATGTTGACTGGACTTGTGCCCAGGACCATAAACCCTAAGCCCTAAACCCTAAACCCTCTTGCAGATGTCTGCCTGAGGTTCCGGCTGATAGGAGATGTGTGCGTCAGGTCCCGGCCGATCGGTGCAGCAATGGCATCTGCAACGTTACCATCGATGGAGTCATCACCGACAGGAGGCACCACCCCCCTCTTATGGGGTTTAGGGCCTAGGGCTTAGGGCTTGGGGTTTAGGGTTTTGGCGAAGGCTACTCCAAAAACAAAACTCAACCGTAGGTACATGTCTAGGCTCCCCCTTCAAAGATATCTACTTTGGGGCCTGTTACTTTGGAACTTGTATCCTGGGCAGCTTCAAAACGGTTCATATGGGGCTTCTAAGCGGATTTTTGGCATCTATTCAGGCTCCTATACTAAGCCCGCCGTCTCGCGCATGCGAGGTATGTCTTCAACATCGTAGCCGAATCGACAGCTGGAGATCACCGCATGGCCTATGCCTTTGGCTCAGCTCAGAAGAAAGAGGATTTAGGGTTTGGGGTTTTGGGAAGCAAGATCTGCGTCGGCAAAGTCCAGCGTGATTTGTGTGAAGGCTTGATGGAGGGAAGAAGCCATAAACCCCAAAACCCTCAAGCCCGAAACCCTAAACCCCAAACCCCTAAGCCCTAAGCCCTAACACCCTAAAGCTCTAAACCCTCAAACCCCAAACCCCGAAGCCCTAAACCCTAAACCCTAAAACCCTAAAGCCCTAAACCCTCAAACCCCAAACCCCTAAACCCTAAGCCCTAAACCCCCAAACACCGAAGCCCAAACCCCTAAACCCCAAACCCTAAACCCTAAACCCCCAAACCCCTAAGCCCAAAGCTCTAAGCCCTAAAACAACCCCCAAGCCATGCATCGGCGACACGAGGCCGGGCTCATCATGCGCACCGACTGGGAGGCGCGGGACATGCGTTTGGGATTTAGAGAACCTTGCTTTAGGGTTTGGGGTTTAGGGTTTTGGCGGTTTAGGGTTTAGGGTTTAAAAAATTAGAGTTTAGGGTTTGGGGTTTGGGGTTTAGGGTTGGTTTGCTTGTTGTATAGCTAATTTGCCACACCAGAGATGAAAGGGAGTACTAGGGCGCGGCTTGAACAGGGCACGGAATGTAGAGCAATCCTGAGGTGGTCGGTTATGTGTTTAAAATGACCCCAACAGTCGTCTATGCTTGGGGCTGAGCGGCTATTGTTTTCCCGAAGCCCCCAGCACAACCCTAAACATATTTTTTTCCGGCCGCAAGCCGTCATCAGTTCTCAACCCAAAACCACTATTATGAGTTACAAGCCCTAAACCCAACACCCTAAACCCCAAACCCTAAACCCCAAACCCTAAACCCTAAACCCCAAACCCTGAACCCAAACCCTAAACCCCAAACCCTAAACCCTAAACCCTACACCCTAAACCCTTGGGTTTGCGGCACCCATGGAGCAGGTCATTAGGCAGGCGGCCTCTGATCGGACATTGCGGGCCCGGGGCCTGGGACGAGCAGAGCTGCGGCGAATTGCAGAGCTGGAGGGTAGGGTTTAGATTTTAGGGTTTAGGGTTTAGGGTTTTGGGTTTTGGGTTTTGGGTTTAGGGTTTAGGGTTTAGGGTTGAAGGTTTGGGGTTCAGGGTTTAGGGGTTTAGGGGGGTTTTGGCGGGTTAGAGTTTAGGCTGGTTAGGGTTTGGGGTTTAGGGTTTAGGGTTTAGGGTTTAGGGTTTAGGGTTCAGGTTTCGTGGTGTGCTCGGCATCGCACGCTGATCCGCGCGGAGGTCGTATGAAGACGTGCCTGCCCCGAAGGCACCCAAACACATCTCAAAAGAACCCATTCCAAACCCAGCCACACCAAACTCACATATCGAATTCTACTTGGGCTTAGAACCGTTTGCTAAACTAAGGTTCCCAGTGAGGGTCTTTTCTCATCGAACAAAGATCGGGTCCAGAGTTGGTTTCCAAGCAGCGAGTTTTTTCTGGAAGCCAAGTGTACGTTTGATGATTTCGAGGCCCAGGGGCCTTGCTAATCGAAGAAAGTTGGGTCTAGAATCGTATCGGAGTAACTTTCTGAAAACCTAAACCCTAAACCTATGCCAGGGAGTTCCAGGCCGAATTCGAAGGCCCTTTGTCATCGAGAGAAAGGGGTCCAGAATCATATCCAAGTAGCAAGTCTTTCGGGCAGTCAACTTTCAGGTCTCCGTTGGGGTGTCCTGCTTGCTTCTCATTTCCTTGTCCATGCATTCAATCTAGCAACATGAGCCAAACACACTTAAGACCCGAATGAAGCCGTGCTCACATCTGGCAAGATTGAAAAAAGAGTTTGGGGTGGACACCTGACAAGCTTCGCCTGCACAAGGATGGGGTCTTAGACTTCCCCCCGCCGCGAACATCACCCGAATCTTCGGGGGCCGCGTGTAATATAGGGGTCGGAATAATCACTATGTGTATTCCCTTATGGTCCCCGTATATCTATACTATAAGAACCTCCCAAACCCCATTCTAATTATTAAGGCCCCTGTAGTAGCCCTAAACCCTAAACCCTAAACCCGAAGCCCTAAACCCTAAACCCTAAACCCTAAACCCTAAACCCTAAACCCTAAACCCTAAACCCTAAACCCTAAACCCTAAACCCTAAACCCTAAACCCTAAACCCTAAACCCTAAACCCTAAACTAGTTATTAAGGCCCCTATATTAGCTTGGGGCGGGGGAGCGCAGGATGCACCAGTTCCAATTGTTCCCAAAACGAAAAAGCCTGCAAGTTTTTGGATGTTGGCGCGGCCACAAAGACCTGGATTTGGGGCTTAAGGTTTTTAGGGTAAGTAGGTCTAACCTAAACCCTAAACCCTAAACCCTGAACCCTGAACCCTAAACCCTAAACCCTAAACCCTAAACTAAAACCCGAAACCCGAAACCCGAAACCCGAAACCCGAAACCCGAAGCCCAGGTGGTGGGAGCAATCTCTGGAAGTGTTGGGGCCCAAGCTTGACACACTGCTTGGTAGCCCAGTGGTACCCTTTCCATAAATTCAGAGTTGTAGTGCTGCGTGACCAGCCCGGAGAGAGTCACTTCTCCAAAATATGCTATCTTTGTGGGGTCGTTGTTATAAGGCGTCCCCTCCTATTTAGGGTACCCCAAACGGGAACTTCTCTGACCAGATATCTGACGTGGGGCCTGAAAAATGCTGATCATTCGAAGGGTCGTTTTGTGGGCCCTTAATGTCGTCCCTTACCTCCTTTAAAAGGGTTCTGAAGTATGGGCCCTGGGGTTGTACAGGGTGCATAAGGGGTATACACCCTAACCCTAAACCCCTAAACCCTAAACCCCTAAACCCCTAAACCCTAAACCCCTAAACCCTAAACCCTATACCCAAACAAGGTGGTACCCTTGTAAGGGCCCATATTAGACGATCATGTAACTACCTTCAGAGATCAGAGAGACAGGGGCAGCCATCCTTGTACTCCTTGCTGGCCCTGCGGGTACCCGTTTGCCCTGTTTTGGGTGGTTCAAGGTTCCCTTATAAAGTAAGCCCCCCAGAAGAAAAAGCAAAGCATAATGATAAGAACAGCAATAAAAAATAATAGGAATACTAATGTACCCTGTATCGTAACATGGATTCTGGGCTAATACTGATAATAATTATAAAATCATAATAATAATCATATGAGTAGTACTGATTAACAGTAACCCTTTATCGAAACATGAAAAATTACTGGGCTCAGAGGTCTTGGGCATGGTCATCATCGTCTACTTCCTCATGCTCAAGCTCTACGGCTGAGATGCCTCGGAGCTTGCGCACCTCACGAAGTTTGAACAGTTGAGTCGGGCGAGTCCTCGTGCCAATCGCCCCGGAGGTTTTCACCGAAACCCTAAGGCCTAAACCCTAAACCCTCAGCCCCAAACCCTAAGCCCAAATCCTGCAAACCCTAAACCCTAAACCCTACACCCTACACCCTACACCCTAAACCCTAAACCCTAAACCCCAATGCCTATGCTCCCAAGGCCTCAAACCCATCAGGGCCAGGGAGCGTCTCACCTCTGAGGCTCGTGGTGCTGGTGGATGCGCTCTTGCCACAGAAACCGCCCTAAAACGTTCTAGACCGTAAACCCTATAAAAGGGTTTAGGGTTTAGGGTGTAGGGTTTAGGGTTCAGGGTTTAGGGTTTAGGGTTTAGGGTTTAGGGTTTAGGGTTTAGGGTTTAGGGTTCCTCAACCCTAAAAACCCGATGAAAACCCTTTAACCCTCTATAAACCCTAACCTCAAAAGCCCCGCAATCCCCCTAAAGCCCTCAAAGGGTGTTATCCTTTCAAAGGGTCAGGACGCCACACCACGTGCTTCGAGCCTTCTCACCTAAAACAGGGCCATGGCAGACTCTCTAGATTCCGAGGACCAGGGTTTAATGTTTAAGTAGGGATTACATGGTTTAGGTTTTTAAATGGTTTAGGGTTTATCATGGTTTAGGGTTTACATGGTTTAGGGGTTGCATGGTTTAGGGTTTGCATGGTTTAGGGTTTATATGGCTTAGGGTTTACATGTTTAAGTAGGGTTTAGGATTTAGGGTTTGCATGGGCTAGGGTTTGTATGGTTTTGGGCTTGATATGGCCTTAGGGGTTTTAGTGGTTTTGGCTTTTTGGGAAACCCTCAAAGATTGAAACCCTAAACCCTAGACCCTAAACCCTAAACCCTAGACCCTACAGAATCAAGGAGCTCTGCCCTTGCGGGCCGGTTGCACGACTCTTTGCACCGCAAAGGGGGGGGACGGTTCACAGCTTCTTCAGGTGCGAACTCTCAGGGCCCATGTACGTAGGGTTTAGGGTTTAGGGTTTAGGGTTATATAGCATATACCTGGGCCCTGAAGCTACTATATCGGAACCCCTTTAAGGCCCAAGTATATACCATGCGGGTACATGGAGCCTTTGGGTACTGTCAAGACAGCCGAAATTCCTGCGGCGTGTCCCGAAAATGATTCATCTTCGTCACTGCCGATATGGGTTTTCCGAAGTTAACCTTATTGGGGTCCTAATTTTAAGGGAATCCTACTATTTGGGGGTCTATATTAGGGAGCCCTTATTCTCGTAAAACCTCATATTTTGATCTCCAGCAACATGTTACCCCCTAGATGGCCACCAGTGATACAATGGTGTGCCTTCATGCCCTTTGGCGATGAAGCCTGTTGTAGTTTCCCTTAAACCTAAACCTCAAACCCTAGTTCCTAAGCTCCAACCCTAAACCCGAAACCCTAAAACCCCTAAAACCTCAACCCTATCTCGCATAAAAGCACCTCCTTTGCTTGATGTGCTGCCAGTCTGTGCTACCAGGAACGTGGCACTCGCATGAAACAAAAGGCGCTGTTACGGAACTTCGTTCATGGCCGGGCTTTCGGGTTTAGGGTTTAGGATTTAGGGCTTAGGGTTTAGGGTTTAGGGTTTAGGATTTGGGGCTTGGGCTTAGGGCTTTAATGTAGGGGCCTCAATAGTTAGAGCAGTTTTTTTTGGGGGGGATGTATTTGTACAGGGGCCATAAGGGAAGACCGCTAGTAACAACTGCTCAAGAACCTCCAACAATTAACAAAACATTCTTCCTCATCAAGGGCAATACAAGGATAATGTTATATGATATGTCCCTTGTTTGTTGTTTTTGGGGGTGAGGGTAGTAGTTAGGGTGTTGAAGGGATGACAAGTTCATGCGAGTGGGAAGGCCTTGGGAGAGTAAGAAGTTGTCATGAGACCAGGGCGAAGAGAAAGTAGGTCAGCAGTGAGACCCTAAAGCTAAGCAGCCCAGTGATACCCCTAAGCAGCCCAGTGATACCCTTTACCCTTTTTTGTTGGCTCTGGGTTCACTTACTAACCAACTACAGAAAGGCTGCCCTTCTTGTAATGTGGTTACAGGGCTACCCAGAGATGGGTTCCTCAACTTGGAGATTTCACAGTCGAGTGAAAGAACTCGCCCGCAGTCATTCGCGAGTCCGTTTCCTGTGAACGTTCAATTTTTCTTAATCTGTATTCGAGCCACATGGTTTCTGCAATAACTAATTTCCTAAACCCTAAGCCCGAAACCCTAAACCCTAAGGCTCCTACAGACTCAGGCGCCCAAGAGTACCCCAGAATAGGGCCAGAGCTTTCCTGCAGCATTCGATGTTCAAGAATGGCGCTTTGGCAAACAGGGTTTGGGGCTTAGGCTTGAAAGGTTCATGTGCACAGCCCTACTGAAACCACAATGTGTCGTCCTGAAGGCCTACGCACAAGAACGTCCACCCCTAGACCCTTTCCTACCTGTAGCCCCAATTACCTGCAGTTTCGTGGCATCTCCCCCTTAATGAATAGGTAGAACCCATAAAGTTGTAGGTAAGTGCGGTTGCAGGTCAACCCTACACCACTATCAGCAGAGGGGGATGTGAGTGTCGGATAACGGCTGCACGCCCCAGAGACACTGTTGCCATGACAGACTGGAGACGGACAGGCTCCGTTGCATGATGGGGCTTAGGGGATAGGTTTTAGGGTTTAGGGTTTAGGGTTTAGGGTTTAGGGTTTAGGGTTCAGGGTTCAGGGTTTAGGGTTGCTTTAACCCTACACATTGGCATTGCCCCAGCCCCATCCCCAACCCCAGCGCCCACCAAAGTAGTCGATACATCGAGAGCCCCGGGTATTGTGTTACCAAGCCCTAAACATCCCTAAACCCTAAACCCTAAACCCTAAACCCCAACCCCTAAACCCTAAACCCTAAACCCTAAATCCTAACCTCTCCTTGAGGCAGCTATGGCCAGCGGTGTGTTGTGGCCTCAGGTGGCACAAAGCTACGCATGATTCTGCTGAGCGTTGGTGAGAAGACTTCCTAGCGAAGTTCAGATGACACCACCACAAGTTGGGTGGGTTACGATAATTGGGGACCTCCAATATAGTAGGATTACCTTGTAATAAGGAGCACCATGAGGTACCCCGGATTTCGGAAACCCCCGGGGCAGTACCAGTAGTTGCATGTACCTGTGGAAGAAAGTCAGACCCGACCGGCCACACGGCAAGGCTGCAGAACCAGATGTGTGGAGGTAGTCGTTGCAGCGTCCCTAAACCCTAAACCCTAAACCCTAAACCCTAAACCCTAAACCCTAAACCCTAAACCCTAAACCCGTCTCACCACTTAGGCCTGCTTGTTCGTGCTGGGTCTCAGCTCTCTGGTGCGATCACAGGACTGGCTGGGGCAAGGTTGGTTTAGGGTTTAGGGTTTAGGGTTTATAGGGTTTAGGGTTTAGGGTTTACGGTGTAGGGTTTAGTGTTTAGGGTTTAGGGTTTAGGGTGTAGGGTGTAGGGTTTAGGCTTAGTCCCCTAAAGGTTTAGGGTTTAGGGTTTAGCGTTTCGGCCTTAGCTAGGGCTTACGGATGAGACATCTGTGCAGCCAGAGAATGACATTGCAGTTGACACCCTATGTGTCTCTTTTCAACCCATAGTGGGAGCCTTTCACAAGAAGGACATTTAGCCCTAAACCCTAATCCCCAAACCCTAAACCCTAAACCCTAAACCCTAAACCCTAAAACCCTAAACCCTAAACCCTAAACCCCCCGCACGCGTCTCTCAAAGCCAGGACGTCTCCTCTGTCTGCTACCATGAGGACTACGCGAACGCCACTGGAACCTGTCTAGCTCAGCCTACAGCCTAGCCCCTAAACCCTAAACCCTAAACCCTGAACCCTGAACCCTAAACCCTAAACCCTAAACCCTAAACTCCCTGCGCCCTCAGCCCATAGTTGTGGTCTCGCTTAGGTCCATCCCCAAGCACCGGAGATCCGAGATGGTGAGACAGTATACCGGGAGATCCGGTACAACATGACCCACAGGTGGGGTTTTGGCGTTTAAAGGTGGCGTTTAGGGTTTAGGGCGTAGGGTTTAGGGTTTAGGGTTTAGGATTTAGGGTTTAGGGTTTTTGCGGGCTCTCACCGAGGCTCGTAGGGACCTCTGCAGATCTGACTGCAGCACAGGTGGTTCTACCGGAATGAGGATGTAAACGTCATGCCGCGGGCTCAGCTACTCCAGCGACTCGTGGTAGACTTCCTGCCAAGCAACCCTAAACCCTAAACCCTAAACCCTAAACCCGCAAAAAGAGACCTGTTCTTCGACACGGTCTCGTTCTGTGGTGCTAGCAAAACTGCCGAGGAACCGGCCAGATCAGTACCGTAAGGCACGGATCAGCTTGCCCGGACAGAGAGATGGGGACCCGAAACCCTAAATCCTTAGCCCTAAACCCTAAACCCTAAACCCTAAATCGGATCCCGAGAGTAACTATGGAAGCTTCCCCTCCTACCCGTAGGCCTTCTGCATTCTGCGCGTCTTGGCAGGTGATCGTCAATCTGGAACCCTGCCGCGGGGTGGTGTACCTCTTTGCCTGGATCTTGCAGAGCAGAACAACGAGGGTTCAGGGTCGGGTGTTTTGTGTTTTTGGGGAAAGGCCAATGAGTCACGCAGGTAACTTGATGATCATGATGATGATGATGGTGATGATGATGATGAGGAGGAGGATGAGTGCCCTACGCTTCTCGAAGGCCCCACTTCTTCATTTCGTTCAACAGCATTAGTTGCAGGCTTGGGTGGTAGCAAGACATCATGAATCTTGGGTCAGCGAGAAGGCCATACATAAGACTGTATGGCTTCGGAAATCTCACGAAAGCTGCTTCGGTCATTATATTGGAACATTGAAACAAATGAATACAGACTGCCCATCGACCGTCCTCATCCAAGTCTCCGTAGTCATAGCTCAATACGTTGTTGCTGCTGTCAGTCGTACTGCAAGACACAGCCATAATGATTTTGAAAAAAAGCCAAGTAGGCACTTTCGCATGCGGGAAACTTTGGAAGCTTTCAACGGCCGCTGCTTTACAAGGAAAGTCTTTTGGATGTTTCATACAAGTTTCCCCTTATTGGGTTTAAGAGGATCACACTAAACCCCAAACCCTAAACCCTAAACCCTAAACCCTAAACCCTAAACCCTAAACCCTAAACCCTAAACCCTAAACCCTAAACCCTAAATCTTGCTTGTAGTTTGGACCTCTCTATTTCTGAAGGCAGCCTAGAATTGCGCTGAGGTCCGCAAGACACGCAGATGCTATCCGGATCCCTACAGTCCAAGCCTTGGCAGTTTAGGGTTTAGGGTTTAGGGTTTAGGGTTTAGGGTTTAGGGTTTAGGGTTTAGGGTTTAGGGTTTAGGGTTTAGTTTCGGATTTAAATTTTGCAGGCAGACGTGCACATGTCTGAGCATCCGTTCTCAGCACCTCGCGCACCTGGCCCCAATATCCACGGGGGCAAGACCTTATAACCAGGTTTTGGCTAGTAGGGTTTTGGGGTTTAGGGTTTAGGGTTTAGGGTTTAGGGTTTAGGGTGTAGGGAATCCCCAGAATCAACCCGACACAGGGCCTTTCTAAGGGGTAATAGGGTGTAATAGCAAGTCTCGGAAGCCGCTTCCATGTGGCAGCACTCCACATGGAGTGCGGAGGATCTTCTACTCGAGCGCCAGATAAGCAGTGTCATGTGGCACGGTACCAGCGTGTGTGTGTGTGTGTCATAAATTAAGGCCATTCTTAAACATCTATATATCTGCACAGTAAGCCTCTTATATTACATCATTTGTCCGCCCGTACTACTTTGCCACCCTCAACCCTAAACCCTAAACCCTAAACCCTAAACCCTAAACCCTAAACCCTAAACCCTAAACCCTAAACCCTAAACCCGAGTCCATGCCCAGGCTGCATCGACATCAGACCCGGCTTCGAGAGAAGAGAGGCCCCTGAGTGTCGAGACTTGCAGAGCTGACTCCGGCGTTTTTTCCGTTTGGTTCCAGAGGGTTTAGGGTTTAGGGTTTAGGGTTTAGGGTTTAGGGTTTAGGGTTTAGGGTTTAGGGTTGAGGGTTTAGGGTTTAGGGTTTAGGGTTTGGTCCGTTCGGTTCCCGAGGGTCCGGTTGCATGCGGGAGGTTGATCTACACTGTGAGCCTTTTCGTGTCCTCAAGTCGGATGAAAAGATCCATAATGAATTGCGAAAAGGCCATAGCTTGGCTAACCGCCCCCCCTTCCCCCTGCCCCTCCAAAAAAGTATCACACAAGGTGGTTCACTTCAAATTCCAGCTAAACCCTAAACCCTAACCCCTAGACCCTAAACCCTAAACCCTCAATTCCAGTTCTTTTGGAAGAAGTGTTCTGCCTGCACCAGGATGCCCGAGGTGCTTGGGTCTGGATTTGTTGCTCGTATCGGTTTAGAGTTTAGAGTTTAGGGTTTAGGGTTTACGGTTTAGGGATGTTTAGGGTTAAGGGTTAAGGGTTTAGCATACTACATTAGCCGCTCTATGTATCTATAAATCCCAAGAATGGTAACTTGATTTCCTTTCCCCTAAGGCTCGGTGTCATTTACAGACTCTAGACCCCAATGTAGGTATTATTTACATAGTTGGAGCCCTAGGGTTCCTTCACAAGAACCCAGAAAAACACTTGCCCAAGGCCGCATTGTGCGAATGGACGCACTTTGTGTTCGGAACTGAGTCGTCGCAAGACGCGGGACGACATCGCCCTGCAAGCATAGCGCTGTGTGGGGTTTAGGGTTTAGGGTTTGGGGTTTAGGGTTCAGGGCTTAGGGACGAAGGCGTCCCAATGTTAGTCAGACATGGCTGTTTGATTGATGCGAGATGTTGAGGTCATTTAAGCCAACTGCGTTTGGCAGCGAATCATGCCATGCAGGGTGCGAGGCTTCTGCCGCACACCGGCTATGGCAGGTGTAAGGTTGTCCATCAAATGAATCAACAGTACTGCAAGGGAAACCCTAAACCCTAAACCCTAAACAATTTTGTTAAAACAGGCTGCCTGAGGTGGATGTCCAGTGCTCTTGCCTCCTGGCAAGGTCTGAGATTGATGGAAGCCGGGACGGATCCCCGACCTTCTTCGAGTTGCCGCTGTCGTCCACGAAGTGGCCCAGACTGGGTTTAGGGTTTTAGGGTTTTAGGGTTTAGGGTTTAGGGTTTTAGGGTTTAGGGTTTAGGGTTTAGGGTTTAGGGTTTAGGGTTTTAGGGTTTAGGGTTTATGGAGATCTTACTTTGCCAATACTTGAACTGAAAACTTATTGCGTTTGCTTATTTGGTAGGAAAAGTAAAGTTTAACCTTTGTTCCCCTTGGTTGTTGGAGAAGTAAGAGATTGGCCCCGAAGTCCTCAACAGGCTTGATTGTGAAGGCAGATGATGCCAGCACCGGGATCGCTATGTGGTGCTTTGCATGGCTTTTTGTGCTGATCGCTTCTCTCATTCATGAGATATCCATCACCACAAACGGTCAGACGATGTTCATTACAGAATTTCTGCTACGCCTGCTATGCTGGGAGTAGAACATGCAACGGGCATCAGAATGCCAGCACAACCTCGAACCCTGAACCTTAAACCCTAAACCCTAAACCCTAAACCCTAAACCCTAAACCCTAAACCCTAAACCCTAAGTGTGTCAGCTCCGCACATGCCAGGCACTTCATTTCCGTCTACGCCCCGGAAGATTCGGCGACTTGGCGAAACCAAGAAGGGTTTGTGCTTAAGCCCTAGACCCTAAGCTGTAGAGTAATCCCTAGAAGCCCCAAACCCTTGTTCGACTTTGTGTGATGTTTCGTAGGTCCGGTGTCGAGATTGCTTTGTTCAGGAATGGCAACTGGATACCGTCTGCTTGGGAATGTTTCTGAAGTTTTGCATGAAGAGCACCCAAGAGATACCGTCTGATTTGTTGGTTTCAAGTGTAAGGGGAGTATATGGTATAGCACAAATCTGAAGCCTGGATCCATGGCACAGTTTGCCAAATCAGTTGCCGTTCAGCATTGCTACCATGAGGCCCTAAACAGTACAAGTCCTAAGCATCAGGCTTCCCGTATGTGGGGGCTGAATTATGGGGCCCTTATGTGACGTATGGGCCCTTAGACCCCCATGCCATGACTTCAGTTTGGGGGTGGGGAAGCCGTTTGCTGTGTCAGCCCTAGGGTAGACTTGTCACACGAAGGCATCGATTTTGCTTTAGAGGACGGGGTTTAGGGTTTTGTGGTTGTGTGGGCGCTGTTTTCATGCAGAGATGTACAGGCAGAAGGTTTGCCTCAGCTCTGCATCTGCCCAAGCCGCAAGCTTTTTTTAAGTGCGAGCCAGGAAAGGCTTCAAGAAGGCCTCAAGGACCTTTAGAGCTTTCCAATCACCTCGGTTCAAGCACCCGCCTTTGACCCCATAGATTGCGATCCAGGCCTACACGCTGACCATCCTCGCCGACATCGGCCGCTACCCTCGGCCCGGGTCCAATGGAAGGATAACAGCGAGGTGCGCCCCCTCCCCCCTCCTTGTGGGGCTCAAGGTTTTCCACACACGCCGAGCCTTTAAGCCCGAAAGGGTTAGCTGCGGTTAGCTAGCATTCGTGACGGGAGTACGGGAGTTTGGGTACACCCTAAACCACCCGAAACCCCCTCAACCCCCCTGAGCCCTAACCCCTAAAACCGAAGCCCTACACCCTCAACGCAAGCCCTAAACCCTAAACCCCAACGCCCTAAACGCTAAACCCTAAACCCTTAGCCCTAAACCCTAACCCCTAAACCCCAAACCCCAAACCCTAAACCCTAAACCCCCTTAATCCTACAAGCCCTACATTGCCTCCTCCGTCATGGCAGGCAGCTAACCGAGATGCAGGTGCAGCTCTCCTGGGACGCGGCTGAGTTCATCCCGGCAGGCAGCCACGTGGGTTTAGGGTTTAGGGTCTAGGGTCTAGGGTCTAGGGTCTAGGGTGTAGGGTGTAGGGTGTAGGGTTTTGGGTTTAGGATTTAGGGTTTGGGGTGTGCCTAAATTTGGCGTGGATTTGGCGTTTAGGGCTTTAGGCTGCCAGGCCTGGTGAACAACCCTTCATTTCAACCGGGCGTTCGGTGGTTTAGGGCCTTTGGGGTTTAGGGTTTAGGGGGTGTACCGAAACGGGTTATATGCATGGGCTGCATGCGCTTCAAAGAAGTTCAGATTCGAGTGATTCTACCGAATACTAGGATGCTCAGTAGTACCCTTATTCCCTTTTTGGGGGTTTAGGTTCCCTTATAAACCCCTTTAAGAAAAAAAAGGCACCCTTTTTAAGCCCAGGTTACTGGGCAGCCTAGAATGTGGTTTTGTGTCTCTGGAAGGCGGATCCTTTTGTGGTGATCTTTGGCCAAGTATAGGGTTGTAGGTGCATAGATCTGGCCACCTTGCTTGCATTGTTAGGGGTTCGGGTTTAGAGTTTAGGGTTCAGGGTTTAGGGTTTAGGGTGCCTGTCTATTCGTTTTTTTGATGTGTGCCTGTTCACTGCCATTATAGGTCAAGTTCAATCACCATTTGCTTGGTCGTCGTTGCTCTGCTGGTGCGGATGCGCTTTAAATTGCGGTCCCATGTAGGTGGAGTAGCTTCAAAATTCCCAACCTGAAATGATAAGCCCCCCCCGCCCCCCCCGCCCCCCCGCCCCCCCCGCCCCCCCGCCCCCCCCGCCCCCGCCCCCAAAGCGACCCGCGCTTTGGAACAACCCACGTCTAAGCTTGGAGTTTGAAAACATCCCCGTCCTTCAGCCCGTAAGCCCTTGAGCCCTGAAGCCCTTAAGCCCGAACAAGGTTTCTGGTTTTCGGGTTCTCCAGTCTCCAGGGTTTAGGGTTTAGGGTTTAGGGTTTAGGGCTTATACTATAGGGTTTAGGGCTTAGTGGGTTGGACTTGGCCGCGCTTTCCGCACTGCAGGTGTAGCGCAGGCAAAGCAATACTGGGTCTACTCCTCCATGCTTCTCGAGTCGGTGGGGCCGTCGCCTTGAGGGGCTTTGCCGCGTTTGCGAGGTTTAGGGTTTAGGGTTTAGGGTTTTAGGGTTTAGGGTTTAGGGTTTAGGGTTTAGGGTTTAGGGTTTAGGTTTCAGGGTTCAGGGTTCAGGGTTCAGGATTAAAGGTTTAGGGTTTAGGGTTTAGGGGGATTAGGACCCTGAACTTGAACAGTCTGCAGAGTAGAGGGCTCACAACGAAGCTCGGGCGGTCATCACGTCTGCAGACCCCTCCTTAAGCGCTTGCAGCTGCCAGGACAACCGAACCAACATGGCCGTCTTTCTGCGGCCAGACAAGATCATGAACACAGCCGGGGACCAAGATGCTTAGGTTTTTAGGGTTTAGAGTTTAAGGTTTAGGGGGGCAGCTCCCCGACTCCGGCGGTCGGCATGTACCTGCTAGTCCGTCTCTTGAAAAGTCGCCGTCCACTAGCCGTGCTGGACTGTGAAGGTCTGTGGCCTGCAAAACAACACGGACCGTCAGTACACCATTGACCGCTTCTCAGAACCCGCCTGTGGTTGCTTTTGGGCGACACGCGTTGACATGGCACGTGTTGCATGGACTTGTGCCCAGTACCCTAAACCCTAAACCCCAAACCCTAAACCCTAAACCCTACACCCTCCTGGAGATGTCTCCCTGAGGTTCCGGCCGACCAGTGCAGCAATGGCAAATGCAATGTTACGATCGATGGGGTCATCACCGACAAGAGGCAGCATGGAAGATGACGCTGTTCCATCTCTCCCCAAAACAGAACTTTAAACGTAAAAACCCCAACGTTTAGGGTTTAGGGTTTAGGGTTTAGGGTTTAGGGTTTAGGGTTTAGGGTTTAGGGTTTAGGGTAAACTGCCCTAAAACTTTAAGCTCTCAAGGCGGGCCCTGACAGCTTCTTGGCTTGGCAGGTATGTCTTCAACATCGTAGCCGAATCGACGGTGGGTGATCACCGCATGGCCTATGTGAGTCGCTCAGGGCTTTGGGTTTGCATATAGGGGTTTCGGGTTTAGGGTTTTGGGGCACCCTTTTGGGTGTCCCTTCAAGGGGATTCCATTCTATTTTGGGTGTAAAAGGGATCCCCCCCCATTGTGGGGAAGTACCCATATGACCCAAAAGGGAACAGCGTTTGTAGTTGGTTTTTGTGCCTCTGGCCTCCTGGCGCTTAGCCCCTGCAGCAGCGTTGTTGCTGAGCTGCCGTCTGCAAGTCTGTAGATGAGACAGGTGACAAATGCTTCTCATGCATACATGAACTTTCCATACAAATAGTGAGGAAGCCATATCATCTACTATACAACCCTAGCCCGAGTGCGGCAACCTAAGTCGGAAAGGGCTGTGTGCACCAAAATATGATAAGTAACAGGAAGCCCTGTCGGGATCCTAGTTCAGAGAAGTCTCCATGTACAAAACCAGCACTCTGCATCTTCCTTCCTCTCAGCTCCGGCCCTCCTTACACTAGGGCTTAGGGCTTAGGCACCCTAAGCCCCCAAGCTTAAACCCTAAACCCCCAAAGCCCGAAACCCTAAACCCCAAAACCCCAAAACCCCAAAACCCTAAACCTAAACCCCTAAGACCCCTGTCGGCCTTTCGGAACCCTAAGCCCTTAGACCCTAAAAAAAGATCCCTAAAACCCTAAACCCTAAGCCCCATAATAACCCTAAGACCCCCTTTCGCCCCAAGTTTGGTCAACCCCCAAAACCCTAAACCCCTAAGACCCCTAAACCCTAAACCCAATAACCCTAAGACCCCCTTTCGCCCCAAGTTTTGGCAGACGCTTGAGGCTGGGCTCATCATGCGCACCGACTGGGAGGTGGGGGCCTTTGTTATCAAAATCTGGGGGGGTTAGGGATGAGGCTCTAGGGTTGAGGGCCGAGGGTTGAGGGTTTAGGGTTTAGGGTTTACTAAATCAAAAAAGAATGTACCCCTACTTTCGCAAACCCCCAAATCTGCGCTACAGGGTTTTAGGGCAACAAAACCCCCCTACTACCCAACAGGCCCCCTGAACCTGAAAAACCCCAAAGGCCTCAAACTAAATCAGAGGGCTCAAGATGGCGTTAAGCGTCTTGACCCTTACCCTAAACCCTAAACCCTAAGCATAAACCCTAAATCCTTCTGACCCTGGACCCTAAAGTTCTGGGTTCCCCTATCAAGAGCGTTACGTTGGAACTTCCCTAGCGCTTCAAGTATAGAAGCAACGCATAAACGTCACGAGCCTCGAAGTTAGGCTTTGGGGTTTGGAGTTTAGGGTTTAGGGTTTAGGGTTTAGGGTTTAGGGTTTGGGGTTTAATTAGGATTGAGGGACACCTTCACCCCTCAGATGACCCCAGATTCAGCAGCGTAGCTTGACTCGGCACATTCGCCCATCGTCCTGCCTAGAAACCAGGGTTTAGGGGTTAGGGTTACTATCCCCTCACCCATCCCTAGAGTGAATCAGAACCATAGCCCCTACCGCCCAAGACCCTGACCACTCTAGCCCTGCAGGGGCAGGGGGGGGGGGGGGGTTTGGGGGTTTAGGGTTTCGGGTTTAGGTGTTAGGGCGTAGGGAATGTCAGGGCTGCTTCCATTCGAATCTACTCTCGCCAGCATCAGATCTACCTTTTGGATAGGTTTCCTAACAATCCTATAAGGGGGCTTTGTAGTGCTCACGAAGGACTGGGTTCTTAAACTAGCACAAAAGTTGTTGACACCCATTGTCACAGAACCCTCTTCTTATCCTCCTCCATCTTCACAAATGGGCGCGGCATGGCGCGGCTCTTGCATGAAACACAAGTGGGGAAGCAGCCACTTCGGTTTGGGGGGTTAGCTAGCCCGCTGTATAGCCTAAATCCTACGTAAGCCTTAAACCCTGAACCCTAAGCCCTAAACCCTAGACCCTAGACCCTAAACCCTAAACCCCAAACCCTAAACCCTAAACCCTAAACCCTAAACCCTAAACCCTAAACCCTAAACCCTAAACCCTAAACCCTAAACCCTAAACCCTAAACCCTAAACCCTAAACCCCAAGCCAGACACCCGCAGCATCCGCTCAGGTCATCCGGCAGGCGGCCTCGGATCGGACGCTTGCAGCCAGGATCCCCAGAACCTTTGTCTGGGTTTAGGGTTTAGGGTTTAGGGTTTAGGGTTTAGGGTTTAGGGTTTAGGGTTTAGGGTTTAGGGTTCAGGGTGCAGGGTTCAGGGTTCAGCGTTTAGGGGTTTTATACTTTCTTTGGTTCTGGATTCCCATTATAGCTACTTATACCTAGACAGTATATACTTTCTTTTTCCAGGGTCTACTCCAAAGTAGGGTTGTAGGTTCGGGGTTTGGGGTTTGCTTGGTAGCCCAGTGGCATCATTTTTTGTTTTGCCTTTTTGGGGTTCAAGGTTCCCTTGCAAAGTAACCAACCGAAGACTGGGGCCCTCATCAAAATTTGGTTACTAGGCGGCCTAGGCGACCATTTTTTGGCAGTTTGGGGTGCAGGTGCAGGCCATCGCGTGCGATAGCTAGGCTCCTTTCTCGTTCCACGTGCCTCAGTCGTTCGAGAGTAGTATAGTGGGTATGAAGTTCAAGGTCAAGAACTTAGCGTACAGCAGAGGGAGGAGCATTAGGGGTTCACGAAAGTTGTGTGGTCAGTTGCAAACAGTGTCCTGCACTCCGAGCAACGATTCAAGCCCTGAACCCTCAGTCCAATAAACCCAAACCGAAGAGAGTGCGAAACCAGGCATTCAGGGGTTAGAGTTTAGGGTTTACTAGGACCCGGAATAGGCCCTATTCACTTTTTTGGGGGCCTTAGGTTCCCTTATGAGCCCCTTAAACCAAAAGGGTTCCTAGGTTACTCTTGTGTCACCCTAAACCATAAGCCCTTAACCCTAAACCCCAACACCCTAAACTCGAAGGCGGGGGTGGCTTGTTTGTTCGATGTTCAGACCTTAAACCCTAAACCCTAAACCCTAAACCCTAAACCCTAAACCCTAAACCCTAAACCCTAAACCCTAAACCCTAAACCCTAAACCCTAAACCCTAAACCCTAAACCCTAAACCCTAAACCCTAAACCCTAACCCTAAACCCTAAACCCCCGACGAACCCCCAACTTCCGCATAAGACCTGAGCCCCTAACCCTGAATCTAAGGTCGGAACCATGGGGCCCTTGGAACCATGGGGCCCTTATTGTACATAGTGCACATAAGGGTTCTATAACAAGGGACCCAACTGATTGGGCCTGGGTCTGAAGGGGTTTAGGGGTTCAGGGCCATAAGAGCTCTATGGTCTCTTACCCTCTTTAAAGGGTTCTGATGTATGGGCCCTTAATTTGTAGAGGGTATATAAGGGGTATATAAGGGGTTCCCTCATACTGAGTACCCTAGACTGAATGTCAGGTCGTGGGAGCAGTCTCCGGGAGCGTCTGGGCCCCAGCAGCACTTTGGTGTGTAGGGTTGAGGGTTGAGGGTTGAGGGTTGAGGGCTTAGGGTTTAGGGTTTCGGCGGCTCACGCTGGCCATCATCTCGTTTTCGGTTCTGCGTGGGAGGGGTCTTTAGGGTTGGGGATGGGGCTAGGCCTAAGAAACGATCCTTTGGTGTTGAGGGTGCATCTTTGTATTTGTGGCTTAGGGTTAGGGGGGGGGGGCTTATATCCTAAACTAAATCTAAACTAAATCTTGTTCCTTCAAATCTCCCTAGAGGCTCTGCTGTAGGCTGTGGTATCCCACCGACTTAAGCGTATGTTCGAGCCTTCAAGAAGACTTAGGGAAGAAGCAACGTGGTTTGAGTATGTTTTCAAAGGACTAAAGGAGGGACCCTCATAAAGGACCTTAGGGGTTCTTTGGGGGTTATTTAGGGGCTACTTGGGTATACAGGGACTCTATAAGGTATATGTAGGGGTTATTTTGTGGGAGTAAGATTCAGGGTCCCTTCTAGGGGGGTCCCTCCTTCTACCCCTTAATGTTTGAGTTTAAAGGGGTTCCTAAGGGAGGGGTTCAAAGGGGGGTAGGCACCTCGAGCCTGCGGGAGTAGTGGGGAGTATTAGGGAACCTTGGGTTACATACCCCCCTCTTCAACCCCCCTCCCTTAAGAACCCTATAATTTCACTTGTTCGGGTGTAGGGCCACTTCCATGACCCCGAAGCCCGAAACCCGGGGACGCCTGAGGTGCTGGGCATGGTTATCATTATCTACTTCCTCATGCTCAAGCTGTACGGCTGAGATGGGGTGTAGGGTTTAGGAGTTAGGGCTTAGGGCTTCGGGTTTAGGGTTTAGGGTTTAGGGTTACACCTGTAGTCGAACGCACCCCTAAGAAACGGACCTTGAGTCCGGCAAACCCCCCGCGTCTGTGTGAGGGGGCTGTTTCACCCTTGGGGGTTTAGGGTTTAGGGTTTAGGGTTTAGGGTTTAGGGTTTAGGGTTTAGGGTTTAGGGTTTAGGGTTTAGGGTTTAGGGGTCACCAATTGTCTCGCTTCTGCTGTTCTCCACGCTTCACCCAGGGAGACCTACTGTGATAGTTTGGGCTTTACCTGGGTTTACGCCTTGAAGGCCGTGTCTCACTGGTTTCACCCCTGAAATGCAAAGGTGGCAACCTTCAACCCCATAAACCCTGGCAACTTTCACCGCTAAATCCGAAATCCTAAACCCTAAACCCTAAACCCTAAACCCTAAACCCTAAATCAGCGAGTTCCGCCTTTGCGCGTGTGTGCCCTCGCGCACGGCTCTCTGCACCACAAAGGGGAGTGATGTTGATGGTAGAATTTAGGGTTTAGGGTTATGAAGCCACTTGCTGCAAACAGGACGCAACAATAATCCAGCCCATGAGGTGGAGGAGTTATTTGTTAGCAGCCCCTTTGCTTTGATGTGCCCAGCCAGTGCAGCAAGGAACATGCCGCCATCTGCACGAGGAATAAACATGAAGACAGCTTGCGCAACCCTAAACCCTAAACATCCCTAAACGCTAAACCCTAAACCCTAAACCCTAAACCCTAAACCCTAAACCCTAAACCCTAAACCCTAAACCCTAAACCCTAAACCCTAAACCTTAAACCCTAAACCCTAAACCCTAAACCCTAAACCCTAAACCCTAACCCTAAACCCTAAGTGCACGTGAGCAGCAGTAGGACTCAAACACACGCATCATATGTGTGTACTTGGAGGTTCATGGTACTTGTTAACCATTTGTTTTCTGTACTTTTTATAACCCAAATCCTTATTGGGGCACTTAAGGGGCTTATAAGTGGGTTATAAGTACAGTTATAATGGATTAGTAAGTACCATGAACCTCCAAGTATGTGTGCTGAACATGGAGCAGGGTTCTGGATCGTCGGGTTGCAAGTGCTGCCGACACGCCCTGCACCTGGCAACCCTAAACCCTAAACCCTAAACCCTAAACCCCAAACCCTAAACCCAATTGCGTTGCCAAATAAGTCTCATTGACCGACCTAGTGGCTAGTGCCGACTTTGTTTTCCATGCGGGTCATAGGGTGTCGTTTTCAGCCGACACGTCCTTTGTTGAAGGATATGATTCGATCTGCTTCAATCCCGGTGCGGTGAGGAACACATGCTTTGGGATATGCTTCACAGTAGATTTTGTGTCAGTACTGCTTAGGGCATTCTGATGTCGCGGTCTTCTGCCACCTTTGTAAGCCGGCAGCCGTTTCTGGCTTAAGAGTTTGAGTGACAGGGGGCGTGCAACTAACTAAGTGTAGCTTGAAGCCAGGTCACGCGGGGCCATGCCGCAAGCTTCGTTGACGTTGAACACGAAGACGCCGGCCGGAGAGAGCTGCGCAAAGCTTCGTTCCGAGATTGCCGCCCTGATGGAACGCCATGAAAGCAGCTTCGAGCTCAGCGCTGGCGGCAAGACCCTGGAGGATACCGACAAAGTTCCCGACTCCCCCGTGACGATCACGCTCGTGAACCTGTCCTGGGAGGGTGCCACTCCAGCTAGGGTGAAGGACCTGGGGGGCGGGGAGTTCACGGTGGTTGGTGAGGCTATGAAGGGAAGCGGCCACTTCAACTTCATGTGCAACACGGGCTTCACTGATGGCGTGGGCTACTTTGAGGTCGAGGTGCTTGAGGGCGACGGCCCCTTCATCGGTGTGACCACGAAGGCCGGCTTCAAGGAGGGATACAAAATCCGCGCCCTCGAGTTCGGTGGTCCCGGCAATCTCTCGGACGGCTCAGGGTTGAAGCGTGGCGGCTTTGGCGAGCCCGTCAAGAAGGGATCGGTCATTGGCTTCACCTTGGACCTGACCGATGGTAGCTCCGTTGGGATGACCGTGTGGGATGGCGACAAGTGCTTGGGCGAGGCCTACAAGGGCTGCAAGCGTGAGAAAGGGGCCACCGTCTACCCTGTCGTTTGCGCCCGCAAGCCAGGGGATCGTTTCAAGCTTTCCCTGAAGCGCCAGCCACGGGTCCAGGAGAAGCGGACCCCTCATCCGGCCCACAACTCCTGGGAGCTTACACGCTTCGTGCAGGATGGGGCCACCGTCAGCTTGGATGAAGCCCAAACAGCGAAGGGAGCTGGTCGGGGTCGTGCCTACATCGGCCCGGGCGAGCCACCAAAGGGGCATCTCGTGATGCAGCTGGAGCAAAGCGCAGGTGATGCTAACGAGTTCAAGCTGCACTTCAAGCTCTTCAACATCCTGAACACCAAAGTGACCATCACGGGCAGCTCCGGCAGCACGGAGAATCTGGACGTGGGCCTGATCCTCGGCACGAGGGTGCTGTCACCTATTCAGGACTTCGAGAACAAGCTTTCAACGGCACTCTCCTCCGTTGACAGCTGGACCTTGACCGGCTCGGGTGAGAATGCTAAGCTCACCATGCGCAGCGCCGATGTGGAGTTGGCCTTCGATTGGGTCGACAAAGCCATGCAGGAGCCCGTCTCTGACGTGGCCTTGCCCTGAGCCAGCACCTACCCCCCCAGGCAGGTCGTGAGAAGAGGACCCGAGCTCTAGGTTGCGACTAACGTTCGTTTTCCGTCAGATTGTCTACCGTGCTTCCGCCCATTGTGGCCGCCGGTGGCCAAGTGTTTCTCACGGGAGTCTGTGTGAGGGGTCCTCTGGAACTAGAACTTGATCCTCAACGGTAAAGTGGGCATTTCGCAGGGTCCTTCGGAACAGCTCCGCCATTCTTGTAGGTTTCCTTAGGCTACTGACATCGCTTGAATTCTGCGTATGTGGCGCAATGAACATGTGCGGGTAGAATGTGAAATCTATTTTGTTTTCTAACATTTGCCCCCACCAACAGACGTTACAACCAATGCATTTGGAAACGAGATACTATTTAATGAATGGTAACTTTTATGAAAAGTGATTCTTGGATTCCAAAAGAAGGATTGGGTAAGATACTGGAAAGGTTTTGATCCCCCTCGCGACGACATTATATCCTTTTATATAAATATCGTTATAATATAAATGAAATACGTTCTCAAAGCCGGCCTTTAATAAAAAAAACAACAACAACAACAACAAAAACAACAAAAAAAAAAACAAAAAAAAAAAAAAAAAAAAAAAAAAAAAAAAAAAAAAAAAAAAAAAAAAAAAAAAAAAAAAAAAAAAAAAAAAAAAAAAAAACCAAAAAAAAAAAAAC